CTCTCTCTCTCTCTCTCTCTCTCTCTCTCTCTCTCTCTCTCTCTCTCTCTCTCTCTCTCTCTCTCTCTCTCTCTCTCTCTCATCCTGTCTTGTCTCCGAAGTCCCTTCACCCTCCCATCCATCTTTTGATCATGCTGTCTGCCTCACAAGTCCCTCCACGCACCCATGCTCTCTCTCTCTCTCTCTCTCTCTGAGAGATTTTGGACTCGCATGGGGAACATGAAAGGCGCTGAGGCAAAAAAAATCCAATGCCCTCATGTTTGCTGCTCCGACTTTGAGGCTCGTTTGTTTTCTCGCACTTGTTCGCATTCATCCCTCCGCATCTCCCCTTCTTGACTTGGCAGGAAGAGATACGCCTCCGCATCTCCCCTTCTTGACTCAGCAGGAAGAGATGACGCTGCATCTCGAAAGTCCCCACGCCCATGCCCATCCATGATTCTGTACTCGCATGGGGAACATGAAACGCATGGGCAAATAAACTCCCATGCCCCCTGCCATGTTCTCATTTTGCCATGGTACCCTCTGAAATGTCTCCGCCGGATACATCTCCATCGACAGACTCCATGTCTTCTCTTCGTCCGTCCGCAAAAATTGGGATGTCTGACAGCTCTCAAATTATCAGTCAAATGTGTGTTTTTCATATATGGATATACGTATGGATTCAACGTATGTATCCACTTATGTAGTACATGTACAAAGTACTGCAAAGTACTGCAAAGCCTCCCCCCCCCCCCACCTCCAAAAGAAATCTATCCCCACCTCTTCTGATGGGCATAATGGCCATCCAGCTTTCGTGAACATGCTTTTTACACCACAATGGCCTTGTCCACCCATGACATGGGTTTATTCTCACGCATGTATACACGTCTGGATGCAACGTACGTATGCATGTTTCTTGGATCATCTCTGACTGGACAAGCAGTCAATTGAGTCTAGGGTTGTTGTCAACAACAAAAAATCCACAAGGTTTGACGTCATCAAATTACAGTTTCCGATAGCCACGCGTTCTCTCAAATTTGCAACAAAAAAAAAAGCCTCAAATCATCCAACGAACCAACCGAATATCCTGACGAGTACTTCTACCTGGGGGAAGTTGGGGGGAGGGGGGGGCGGGGGGGAGCGAGAGGGGGAAATCCAATTGTGCTAATAAGTTATAACTAACGAAACAGGATATGGGAAAAAGTGTTATCATTGTCATCTCAATACACAACTGACAATCAAGAATGTTAACTGGTGGGTGTGCCGCTAGCCGAGAGAGCCCCATATGGTGACTTCCCTCTATAGATGGATGGTCGGAGTGCGACTTTGCTGCATAGATAGATGGTCGTAGTGTGCATGCGTGTATTAAGTGCTACAGCCATTCTACTAGCATCTTACCCCAAACACAACACACACTCATCATGACTATACAGACTGGAAAGATAGAAGGTGAGGTTGTGCTCTGGGGAAGACAGTAGCTTTCCTAATAGGATATTCCAAGCCACTGTGCAGCTTATCCCAAAAACAGACGGGGATAGAAAGCTTTGCAATCGTGGCATCCCGGCTTGTGATAATCCTCAATATACAGAGACACGAACCAGATCAACATTCAACCATTTATGACAATATAAGGAGATGAACCTGGACATGATCCTGATTTACATTCAGCCGTGGATGACCTACGCAATGGGGACTTGGCGCCTATCTTATGAACCCATGGTTGCAAATTTGCAATCACTCGCCATCAAAATGGGCTCAGTCTTGCAGACGGGAAAATGAGAGACTTGAAGGGCAAGGGTGCCGTTCTAAAAATAGCGCAAAGACGGAGAACAGGTGCCCCGCGAAGAAGAGGTGTACCAATCCTGAACAATCGAACAGTCTCTCCTCTCAACAAGAATCTGTTGATTCTGTCCTCAATTTGTCCTGTCTTGGTCGCGCTATTTTTAGAATTGCATCAACATACCGATGAGCGAAGTGGGCGGGATTTGCCGGCACCTGAGATGCACTGATAAAGGACCCAAACACAGTTACATGCGCCATTGACGACCTCTTCCCCGCCAACTCCTCTGGTGGATGCTAGTTGAACCAGTCCTCTTCATGCATAGACGCGGACAACCGCCGCAACACTCTGGGATCCTGTACGTGCGATTCAAAGACAAGAACAATCCGACAAACGTATCAGTCAGCTAGGAACTAGAACCTTGTTGTTTCATACATTTAGTATAAAAAAAAAAAAAAAAGAAGCTAGGAACAAGAACCTGCAAGGCAGTAGTTAGTACTTCAGTGAGTAATAAATTATAAAAAACTTAAAAAAAGAAAAATGAAGTACAAAGGAAAGAAAAGGTTTGCACCTAGCAACAGCCGTCCCACATCACTTGTGTCTATGGGCCTCGCTCCACTACTGTCCAAATGTGCAAAATGAGACTGAATCCTCTGCTAGACATGGAAAGATACATTGCCAATATTTTTGTCTTCTGCGGATGTGGAGAGTAGTGGAGCAAGGTCCTATGACACAGATTATGGGCCTCACTCCTCTGCTCACCATATACACAAAAGACGCAAATTTTGGTGGTGCATCTTTCCATGTTGTAGCAGAAAATTCATTCTCATTTTGCACAGATGGTGAGCGGTGGAGCGAGAAAGCACTGCATGGGTGGGCCAACAATATATTATACGGTGTGGATTCAAATTCAGGTGTGTGCTTCAGCAGTTATGGGTTTTACTAATTCAGCTAGGCCCTGCTGGTCTCTGCACGTGATTCTCAAAAGGGCTTCACTCCACTACTCACCAAATTTGCAAAACTTGAATGAATCTGCCACTAGAACATGGTGCAATCAGACTCGTTCTCAAACACACTTTTCATGCATGTAAACAGCAACGCAGCATACTGGCGAAATGGGCCCACTCAAAACTCAGATGTATGGCTTTCAGATACGAGTTCACTCTCAATTGGCTATGGCGACTTCAGCGCCCAAACATCTCACTGTTCACATACACTGGATCACCCTGGATATCCCACACGCATCACTCTAACACTCGAACACACACACACACTCACTACTAACTACAGCTATGGCAGCTGTCGCTGCATCTACCCTATCGCTATGCTAACTCCCTCTCTCTCTAGCCCACTGCGTCCTCCGGGCTCATCTGCAGACCTCCTTGCACAAGTCGCTGTGGCAGCGCTTCCGCATGGCTCACGCAGGAATGAATGAATGGCTGGGCGCTGCCTCTTGATTTATACTTCAGAAACTCGATGGTCTGCCCTTTGCCATCGGCCCTTGGTGCTCACAGTCCCCCTGTGGTACTTGCTGGACTGGACTGGGACTCTCTAGACCCTTCTGCTGACTGTAGGCAGTCGTACCGTCGACTCAGTGCAGTTGCACTGAGGTCCTACCTGTTGACCTTGCCACTTGTCTTCGTCTGAAATCGTGGGCCTACCTTAGACTCACCACTTGACCACTTGCCGACCTTCTAGAAGGACTACAGCTAGGCCTCTGGACTCTACTTGGACTCCTACCTACAGGTCTACAGTTCGAATCTCCCTACAGCCTACAACCTACGACGACCTACTCACCACTGGCTATCGTGCAGGTCACGGGTTCAACTCCAGGGAACTGTGCAAATACTGTACACAGGTAAAGCTGAGGTCAAGGGATCGATCCCGGGATCTGCATCGGCTACTGCCAAAGGTGAAAACTGTTTCAATGGAACCATACGCCGCCATATGTTTTGTCTTTTGTGCATGTGGCGACTAGTGGAGCGAGGCCCTTAGGGCCACTGCATGTATTTGAAAGAAAAGGAAAACGAAAAAAAGAGAGAGCTAGTAACCCATAACCGCTGAAACACAGACCTGAATTTGAAATTTTGAATCCAGACCCATATATCGTTGGCCTGCTCATGCCCTACTCTCAACTTGACCACCGTCTCTGTTTGTTTGTTTGTTTGTTTGTTTGTTTGTTTTTTGGAAATGGCCCTTTCGATATCCCTCTATCCTGGCGGTGGTAGGAGAACCGCCAGAATTGAGGGCTTATAGGTGATGGGGACCTTGCTGATTATTTGCAGGGGCTCTTTGGAAAAGAGACTGGATCCAATCAGGACATGCACACACAGTTTTCGGGTATGACACGGTCCCATTTTTTTTTTTTCTTTGCACTTCGAATTTTCAGAAGGGAGGGGCACGTTTGGCCACCACTCCCTGCCCTTCCCAATTTCTTTTACTTAGCCCTATTTAATGGGGTGCGTCGCATCACGTGCGCTATGCGCTGTGCACGCGCAACCCTCGCGCACGTGATGTGCAGCAAGTATGGTGTCGAGTTTTGGGTCGGAATGGACATCAATAATCAATTTTATTTTATTTTCCTCTCCTCTTTTCTCTCTCTCTCTCTCTTTTTTTTTTTTTTTTTTTTTTTTTTAACACATTCAGGTGGTGCTTGTGAGTAAATAAAAAACCTGCTGTCAATTGTGGGATGCGACCATCTGAGAGGCGGGGTTAACGGAGGCCCTAATATTCAGACAACTTGGCATGCCATTTATAACAAAATCCAAGGGGGTCATTTTAACCAAACTTGCCACCAAGTCATCGAGTAGAGACCATAGTTACTCACTACAGGAGCTGAAACTGGGGGTCCCCGTCAACCACGTGTGGACCATCACATTGTGCCGATCCCATGAGCAGTATGTGGCTGACGGGGAAAATGGAAGGGTGAGAAGAACGGAGGGAAATATATTCCCCTTACAAAGCACACTATATGAACTACTAAACATGGTTAAAAACATCAAACACCATCCGTAAAGTCAGCGTGAAAACATCAAGTACCATCCGTAAAGTCAGTCTGAGTGGGTGAGCCAGATCGACACAGCTGGGCCAGCCAGGCATGCTGCATCGGCCAGGTGGGGGTGAGAAAGAAGGGCCACAGAGGGTGGGGGAGGGTACCCAGCATGAACAGTCACATGTG